TGTTAGTTTTTTTTAGAATATATTATAAAAAGGGTTCTATAGAACTTCCGGCTTTTTTTTATTCTAATATATAAGCTTGATTTTATAGTTAATACTTTTTTTCTAGTATAGCAGTAGTTTCTTTATATTTTCTAGTTAAAAAAGAGGCAGGAAGTCCTAATAGTATTTAAAAAGTATTATATATAAATTAACTATTTTTTTTAGTTTAGAGTACTTTTTAAAATATTAGTAAGTAAAATTATAAATACTTCTATACTTTTTTTAGATCTTTTTTATAAATAGTTTTTAAATTTTATTTTTATAATTAGCTGAAGTTTTAGATTTGTATATTATAAATATAGTAGGTCCCTTAATCTTATTTTAGTTGTATATAAAAATAATTATTTTTAATCTAATTTTAAAATACTATTATAATAGGACAGCCAACTTTTTTCTAGGATTAAGTTATATCTAAAATTATTAGATATTATATAAAAGTATACTTTTTTTTTAGTATAGGATTCTATATTTATTCTTATCTGTATAATAAAGTAGATTAGTATTTTATTACTTAAGATTTTTTATACTAATCTTAAATTAATACTAATAGTTAACAGGCTATTTACTTTAGCAAATATTTTATTTATAATACTATAGATTAGATATTTTAAGTTAATAAAAATATAGGCAGTTGTAGTAAGGTTTAAAATAGCCTTTACTAAAAAAAAATATACAACTATATATTTTTTTTAAAAATTTTTCTATTTTTTTTTAGTTTTATCCAGTGATTTTTATTTAGATATATAATTTTATACTAAACTTCTTTTTTCTAAATTAGAGTCTCTGTCTGATAAGATATACTATTTTTTTATTATTAAAAAGTAGGTATAGCTGCAGCTATACTTATTAGTTATATAATAAATTTTAAAAAATATTAGTAAATAAAATATCTATTTTATCTGTAATAAAGGTAGTAATCTGTTTTATATTTTTTCTATATTTTACTAAATATTATTTATTAAGTCTGTTTTTAGGAGTTGTTAGTTGTTAAATAGAAGTAGTATTTTTCTTACTATACAGCAGCTATTTAAGTAGGTTTTTATTTTATTAATTTAAAACTTAGTTTATATTATACCAGCACAGTCTTAGTATAGCTTTTTTAAAAAAAAAACTTTATTAAAATTATAATTTATATAGTATAGTTGGTTGTAATAACCTTTATATATAGGCTTTTAAAAAATTCTAACTAATTTTTTAATAAGCTTTTAGTTTACTGTAGTATTTAGTATAGCTTTTTTTTATTTATCTAACTAATTATACCCCCCTACTTATAGCAGAGCTTTATTAAAGTTATTTAAAAATTCTTTTAGTTTTATTTTTTTTATTTTATTATATTTATCTGATTTAGGGCTTTTTATTATATATCAGAGTTTTTAAATATCTTATTTATTACTATAAGTATATCTTTAAATTATACTATCTTAGTATTTTAAGATTTAATCTAAAAAAGTATCTGCTGTACTGTCTGTCTGTATAGTTAACTATAAATATAAAAAACTTATTCCAGTCTAATAAAATAATAATTTCTATTAATTATAAGTTTTATATATATATTTAATTTAAATAATTTATAATTATGCTTATTTTTTTTATTAAATAGTTTTATATTAGGGTGTTGAGAGTGGGGTCTGTAGTTTGGTTTATATAATTACTATAAAAAGTTTCTCCCTAGTTTATTATTAATAGTAAAGGTTATATTATAACTTTATAATTTATTTATCTACTCTTTAAAAGCTAGTTTTTATTTTACTATTTTTATATAAAGGCTAATTAGCTTTTATAAAAAAAGTTGTATATTATTATATATAGCTGTAGATACTACAGTCGGCTGTAGTTCTTTTTAATATATTTATTCTATTATTTTTATAATTCTTTTAGTTTTATTTTATTTTATTTATATATCTAGTCGGGCTCTGTCTAGGGCTTTTTAATAAACTATTTCTAATATTATAAAATAAATAGATTATACTAATCAAAATATACCTTAAAACAAAAAGAAATAGCTGAGGAGCTATTTTATCTGTTTGTACAAAATTCTTTTATATGTGTGCTAAGCTAGTGCTAGTTTAGTACTTGGTATGCAAGGCCTCAGGTGCCAACTGGTGCCTCAAGCCGAGCTCTATAACAGGGCCTTGGTCCCATAACATTCTACTGCTGATAGTTTATTACTTTTGCTACCTGTAAGGGCCCGCAAGCCCTTCCAACCTTCGCAATATCAATCGCGAAGGAATGTATATAAAAGAAGGCCTAAGGCACCAGCCACGTGACGGCTAAGCGAGGCGGCCGCGGAACCACCCAAGGCAGCGGTAGTCCCACGAAGTTAGGCAGATCAGCAACAACACCTTAAGGCATAACATTACCACCCTTGGCTATCGCGATAGGCTATTCGTTCACTACACTATTTCACCCTCTAGTCCTTATACTACCTAATTTTTTAGTAAAGGATCTTACTGTAGTTCGAAATACTATTAGTTAATTATAAGATTATTAGTAGTTATAAAGATAAGTTACTGAACTATAACAGACAATCTAATATAAAAATATTGAATTATAACCCACTCAGCAACAGAAAACTTTCTTATTTTTAAATAAATCTAAAATAAATATTAAAATTAAGAATATTCTGTAATTTAAACTTTTTTTTAATATTACAAGCACTAGAAGTAGTTTTATAATCTAGATTATAATTTTTAGAAAGTACTATTTAAATTTTATAATAAATATTATAAGATTCTTAAGGCTCTAAGCTATATAAATACAATCTATTAATAGAAATAATACTATTATTTTAATAAATTACTACTAGAATATAAAAAAGATATTAGCTATTTATAGCCTGCTTTTTTTAAATAAATATTTTTTTTATCCGAAATGCTACTATATTTGAACCTAATATCTTGGAAAAGAGGGGTCAGCTTTATATTAATATAAGAACCCGGATTGGAAGCCCGACGAATCAGTAACAATATTAGTATTAGAGTAGGGGCTGGCGGCCGCATGCCACAGGTATTGTACAACATTTTTCTACTACTCTAGTTTTCTATAAAAGATATTTATAAAGCAGAAGTTCTAATAGTACTGTTATAAATAAATAAACTATTTTATATTCAAAGAAAAAAGTTATAAAAATCTTACAAGCTCTTCCAACCTTTGTAATATTAATTATAAAGAAAAATATATAAAAAAAGGCCTAAAATATTAGTTATATAATAGTTAAATAAGATGGTTATAGAACTATCTAAAGCAGCAGTAGTTCTATAAAGTTAGATAGATTAGTAATAATACCTTAAGATATAATACTACCACCTTGGCTATTGCAATAAGGCATTTGTTTACTACACTATTTCACCCTCTAGCCCTTATAAACACTGTTAGCCACTCTATCTGCAGGCCTTAGCCCCTAAGGCCCTAAAAACTACAGTATATAATCAGCTAAGGCCTTTTAGGTTTTATATTAGCCTGAATGGGTTAGGTAAAGTCTTACTGGGCCTTATATCAGCCTAAATTTGATCAAAAGCCTATATTTAGGATTTTTTACATATAGCTAGTATAACTGTTTCCTAATCCTGCCCCAAAACAACCTTCAGCGTGCACAACCTAGAAAGTCCCCATGGCTACCACAATGTCGACATCTGGACCTACTACAACATCATCGCGTTTAGCCTCTCAACGGGCTATGTACTCATCACCGGGTTGGGGTACATGTGCTACTTTAGAATGCAGGCCCTGGAGGATCGGGTGGGCGAGCTGCACGACGGCGAGTGGAAACTGTACTCTCGTCTGCGACAGTACAGAGTACAGACAGATCATCGAGCATGACGAGGAGCGGCTTCAGGAGCTCGAGGAGAAGGTGGGGGTATTAAAGCAACGGCTGGCCGAGATGAGGGCGACCGAGTACCGATCCGGGTGGCCGAGATTGATGAAGACATGTTGCTGGACATCCACCTAGAAATGGAGGAACGGAGCGACTGAGAAATAGCTCGAAAGGAACCTCTCCTGCCCTATCTATCGCCCGGATGCGCTTAGTGCCTTGGTTCGTTGGGACTGTCTGGCAGGCCCCGCAATCTGCAGCCTGCTGCGAGCTGTGCTCCAACATCCACGCTCTTATCTAGCTATAAGCACGTGTTGACGCATTCTGAATTCTCTTCGATAACCTGTTTATAAGGACCTTGATGAAGCTGTTGATTGTTCATACACTTTCTTTTTTTGTTTTACAACAAGAATCTAATGTCCTACTTTTTACAAGGTCTTAGACCTTACAAACTCGAGCCATACACCAGGTCCCGGGTATCGACGCAGACACCGGTGCTCTTTCACTTTACCATCAAATGCATTCCAACGTTGCATGATAGACTCATATCCATCTTGATCAAGATATGTCCTGGCATCAGCTTGTCCTTACTGCCTCAGGCAGAAAGATCCCATAAATTATTGTCTTTTCAACATACATGTATAAGCCTGACGGAATACCTGGATTCTCCCACGTGAGCATTCATTCACTGATTATGACTGAGAGTATTCCTCATTGGTCAATTTTTTTACCGTTTGTTATGTCCTAGCAAAGTCAAAATGGGTCCCCCTGATCAACAATGAGTGCACAATTGTCCATACATGTAGATGGCCTATTTCCAAGTGAAAAGTTGATATTGGAAAGTTTAGTTCCAAGAGCCTAAGAACCAGAAAGATACGACCACATTTCATCATTGCATAGCCTATAACAAAGGTCTATATTTGCTTTATCTTCGCTGTATGGCTTTATCCGATAATCTCCGTCAATCTAGTCTTCAAGATCATCTTGATCTAGAAGCAAGTGTGGCAGTCGCATCTATAAAAGGGACGCAAACAATTCATTTTCAAATCCACATCCACCCCCGATCTACGACTCGACCGCCCTGACACCCCAGACAAACAACCCGCCCAACCAATCAACCTACGAGCCTGTTTGACGCACCGGTCCCAAAATGCAAATCTCGATGGACGTAGCCAATTCCAAGCATGCCCACGAGGAGAGCCTTGAGAAACTCCTCGAAGCCTACTCGAAGGTAACCTCGCGGTATATGGACGCCGGCAAAGCCCAAGGCGTGCCCGTCCTCCAGGAGCAAATCCAGGGGACCCTGGACCTATTGCGATTCGCGTCCCGGCATCTCCTCGGGCTCTCTTCTGAGCTGGATACGCTGCTTCCGCGCCGTGAGGATCCGTCTCCCCCCGAGGCGGATGCTCGGCCTGCCCGCCAGGAGAATCTGTCTCCCTCTCCCCTCGAGGCGGGTTCTCGGCCTTCCCGCCGCTTGAATCTGTCTCCCGACCAGTGCGAGGAACTGTCAAGGTTGGCTCGTGAGCTGGATCGTCTGTTTGCCTGGGAGGATGCGGAGGACGAGGCCGCCGAGGCCGCCAAGGCCGCGGCGGCGGCGAGGGCGGAAATCCCGCCCCTCCGGCCCCGTGCGGAGCGGGCATCCTTCGCGCCACGCAGGCTGCGCTATCCTGACCACCGCCGTCAGGCACGCCTCGAAAGGGCGTACGCCCTTCTCAACCGCCACTACTCGGAGGATGAATTCTGGCCCCGTGGGTATGTGCGGTGATGCCGCCCCTTTTGGGGGGGTGTTCCTTTCACTACTAGTAACTCATTGCCATCATATGGCATGATGAACGATTTACACCAATCAAAAAAAAAAAAAAAAAAAAAAAAAAACAAAAGCCTTCTGTTCGTATATCAGTTTATACATTTCCCGTAAGATGAGTTTTCTTGTAATTTTCCAGATCCAGATGTAGGTCGCCGCCGGGCGATAAACTCGGGCCATGGCGGGCAGACTGGTACTGCCAATCCGAGGAAAACGAGGGAAGCAAAGGGCTTAGCATAATACTAGTGTTCATATGTCGTTATACCTTATGTACTCTGCATGTTTGCATTAGGATCTTATCATGGTGCTTATAATCCTAGTCAAAGTCTGTATTGCGGGTACATAGCATTCGGCTTCTGTCCCTGGTTACTATAATCGAAGTTCTCCTGTAAGTTCCACCCATTCCTTTCTACCCCCTATACCCATTATAAGTATGCGAAGACCATAAAGAGTATCAGGAGTACTTCAGTACATACATTGCCATTCACTTAACTTGATTTCAGTCAACATATCCGAGATAAATTTATACATTGGTCTTTGGCAAGAAGGAAGCTTTGTATAAGCAGCGGAGTATATCCGAAGATCAACCTACAAGACCATTTAGGCCCTCGTGTGCCAAAAGTATCTCAGTAGACCGTCGAAGCGATAAAGAACGAGACCGGAAAACATGCTTGCAACAAAGACGCTCGAAGTGTCTGGTCCTTATTACCCAGCCTGAGCCTCAAAGAACCTAATGCTCGTAGTCACCATTTTTCAAATGTAACCCATCTAGCTCGACTATTTATAAAGCCAACCGACGACCCAACTCGAACTCTCTATCCTCAACCCGAGTTCGACCTACCAGAGGATCCGTCGCTGTTGCACCCGCCAGAATGCCCAGAATGGAAAACCCAGCCCTCAACCTGGCCAACCGAGACCTCGAGCGGGCCTTGTGGAATCTGCGCCGCATCCATCTGGAATTGCTGCGCGAGACGAAGCCGTGTGGCCCGGAGGCGCGCGAGTTCCGGAAGCACGTGCAGCAGGCCAAGGCCCTGTTCGAGAGGGGGGTGCAGCAGACCGACTCGGTGGAGAGGGCGTTGAGCCCTGCGCCGGAGATGCCTGCCGCCGATAGACTGAGTAAGTCTGCTGAGAGGCGTCGTGTCCGTCATTCTTCGGGCCCCGAGCCGGACAGCCCGGCCGGCGTCATACCCCCGCGCCGCGGGAGCCTTCAAGGCTCTGAAAAGCGTCGTGTTCGGTTCATCCTCTAGGACGTGAGGGCTTCCCTTGGGGCTTCCCTTTGCATCATTAGGGGCTTGTTATCGTTGCTCTCATTCATCGGTGTCTTAGTATGACACTGATGAGTGGAGCTTTTATAATCAAAAAGTTATACAAACATAATATTTTGTGCACTGTATTGGAACGCAACGCGATCATCGAGTGGAAATCTGGCTAAAGCACTAGAAAACTCATTCCAAGTATCCAGGAAGAGTCGCCATGATATGTGGTAGGCTGTCAAACCGTACTATGGCATTCATGAATCAATAATAAAGTCTAGTATGCCAAATCCTGTACAAAAGTAAATGATGCGATTTCGATTCGCAATAACTACCGTCCTCCTTTCACTTCGCATGCGATTAATGAAGTTTTCCTAGAACATACATAGCGAATGTACTTTGCTTTGTTTGGTTCAGGATAGCATCGAATAATTCCAGCCAAGTGTGAGCAGTCTCATAGAGGCTTTGTCTCAGGAACAATCACCTACTGCAAACTCAACCTGAAATCCTCCATAAAAGAAATCCACGAATGAATTGTTCCAGTATGTAACAAAGCCTTACGGCCCAAGCTTCTTCGTAGATGACTCTCCTTCTCGGGCTCTGTCAGGTCTATAAAAGCGAGGTCCACAACAACCGATTCCACCAATTAACCCATTGGTTAACCATCAACAACAACCGACCAACCCTCTCAAACTATACCACAAGCACAACCGCTGTAGAATCACCCAAGATGTCAGATATAATAAGCCTCTACGCCTTCCTTCTCGCCGGGGCCCGAGAGGCAGTGGACTACATCCTAGCCCTGCAACAGATGGAGCAGGAGATAGAAGCCGGGCCCACGCAACGCACGCAGCTCTATATCGAGCACGAGCAAAAGCTTAGGAAAGCGCTGGCGTCGTTGCCCAAAGTCGACAAGCCGGATGCTTCCCTCCAGCAGCTGGAAGAGGAAGCCCAGCAGCCAAGCGACGATTCTGCGCTGCCGCAGGACATTATGCTCACCACGCGGCGATTGATGCGGGTGATCAAGGTTCGCTATGAGGCATGGCTGCAGGAGAACCTGCTCCTTGAGGATGCCATCTCGCTAATTGCTAAGTTGAACGAGGGGCTAGATGATCGTGCCGGTGGTGGTGGTGGTGGTGGTGGTGGTGATGATAATGGTGAGCAGGGGGTGAAAGGCAAGGAAGGAGATTGTAAAGTGAAAGCGGAGGATAGTGAGGGGCAGTAGCCCCCTTGCCCTATGCTGCTTCAGTGAAACCCCCCTCTCCCACTGTTTCCCTTTGACGGGCTCTGAGGCTCTGGTCACCACCGTCCACGGTCTTCTCATGCGATATTATCGTTTTCGCTTGAGGATTGAGCCTGTAGCGCATTTTCTTTAGGCAATGACATTTTATCAAACAAATCAATTTGAACTCAATGGTACACAACATTGTAAAGCAACTATCAAGTATAAAAATGTTCAAGATGGCAAACGACGCGTGTTTGTGTTTCCGCTCTCTTTTCTCTCTTTTTCTCTGGAAAAGCGGTTTAAGAATATTTGCATCTATCAGACCAGCCAATCAACTGTACTGTAGGACTTTCAAACCAATAATCAAATATAGCAGCCGGAATCCCTGTACATCCCGATGCTGCGAATTTGTGCTGTACTGACTAGCCAAGAGCTCTCACACCAAGTACAACCAAGGAACTCGTTCAGTATCGCCATTGACTAAGGTAGTTTAGCATCGAATAGTTTCCGGCCAGGCTCGGGTGGTCCTACAAAAGCTTTGTCTCAATGTAACCAGGGACAATCATACTGCAAACTGAGCCTGGAGTCTCCATGAAAAGATCCACCAAAGCATTGTTCTTGTACGTAACAAAGCCTTATCACCCAAGTTTGCAATCCTTTGTAAGTGACTCGCCTGGGCTTTGAAGAGATCTATAAAAGCAAGGTCCACGACAACCCACTCCACCAACCCAACCCAACCCATTGCCTAACTAACCATCAACAACAACCCGACCCACCCTCTTAACCTAACCTACACGATGGCAAGCACTACCACTTCCAAACCACCCAAAACGTCAGACGCGGAGGAGCTCTACGCGGGCCTCCTCGCCACAGGCCGAGAGTGGGTGGACAGCATCCTCTTTATGGAACAGGTACAACAGGAGATCGAGGCCGGGTGCGCGCTTCGCACGGAGCTTCGTACCCAGAATGAGCGAGCGTTTCTCTCGCTGCTGGCGGCGTTGCCGGACCGCGCCCAGCCGAATGCCGCTACCCTCCAGCGGCTGGAAGAGACTGCCCAGCAGATGAGCCACGCGACGGTATCGCTGCGCGAGAAATTGAGAGCCTCGCGGCGACAGATGCCGTTGAACAAGGCTCTCATTGAGGTATGGCTGTGGGCGCGCCTGCGCCCTGCGGATGCGAGCGCGCTGGTTGCGAAGTTGAACGGGGAGCTGGATTACGATGCCAGCGGTGGTGATGACGATGGTGAGCGGGCGGTGAAAGGCGAGGAAGGAGATTGTAAAGTGAAAGAGGAGGATGGCGAGGGCCAGTAGCCCCTGGCCCCTGCCTTATGCTGCTTCAGTGGAACCCTGTTTCCTTTGTCGGGCTTTGATCACCACTGTCTTCTCATGCGATATTGCTTTCGCGTGAGAATTTAACCTGTGGCCATTTTCTTTAATCAATGACAATGACATTTTATCAACAAATTAAGTCGGATTCGATGTTCCACAAAGTAAAAAACTCAATCCTCAAATATTGTCCAGTGGAATTACTAGATAGCTGCTACCCTGAGTCTTATAAACCCTTAGAACTTCTCCTTGTGGTGCGCCACAAACTCCTTCCACGAAGTCGGTTTGTCACCCTTGTCCAGCAGCTCATGCGAGGGAGCAAGCGACTCCCCAGCATAGTACCCGGGATCCTCCAACAACAAAATATTCTCCAGCATCTCCTGCGCGATCGGCGCCGGCAAGAACGACTTGAACACCTCCTCCGGGATCTGCGCCGTCTGGACCTTGTACCCGGTGACCTCGTGGAACTCATCCACAATCCGCTGGGGCGAGTAGTAATCGTCCGCCGCCAAAATGCGTTGACCCACCGAGGACGGGAAGTGCTTGATCGCCGCCTTCACGAATTTACCTGTTCCCATCGCCATTAGTCCTCATCCCACATCCACATGAACACTGAGAATCATACCTGTATCCTCAGCCGGATCGAACAACGGCACCTGCGCTTTGGCCATATCCACCGGCCACCCCAGAGTATACACATCATCCTGCTTGCTCAGCATCTGGAAGAAGTTGGTCATGTACAGCCCCGCCAGCACGAACGAGGCCGGCACGCCGCTGGCGCGGATGTACTGCTCGATCTCGGCCTTGCCGTCGAAGTGGCTGACATGAGCCAGGCGCCCATGGCTGATCTGCGTGACGTCCCGCAGCGAGGAGAAGATGAGGTGCTGCACGCCGGCGCGTTGGCTCGCGTCCGCCACCGCCTTGCCCTGCGCCACCTCGGTCGCCCGGCTCATCGTCTCCCAGAAGTTGGTCACCAGGAACACGGTGTGCGCGCCGGTGACGGCGGGGAGGGCCGCCTCCGTAGAGGACATGTCGGCCTTTTGGGGTCAGGTTAGTGGTTGATGGTGGTGAAGTGTAAGGGTAAGGTGGACATACGGTGACGAGCTCAACGCCCTGGGCGGCGAGGGCCTGTGCCGCTGGCTTGCTGGGGTCGCGGGTGACAGCCCGGATCTTCCACTGCTTGGACAGAGCGGGATCGCCGAGGATGGACTTGATGACCGAGCCACCTTGGTTGCCTGTGGCTCCGAAGACGGTGAGAATTTGAGACATCGTGGGGTTTTGTAGGAGGATAAAGTGAGGAGAGAGATTTGTTGATAGACTGGTTGAAAGTTACTATGGTAGTAGCAGGTTGAAACTCTTGTCAAGCTGACCCAGACAGATATTTATACTCTTTGGAACGTCCCCGGGAATTCAAGGTTCCTTGGCACTGGTGCCCCTCGCGGGGTATCGCCTGAGTCAGCTCGTACTCTCGGGGAGCCGAGATCATGTAATCGCTCGTATCGCCGTTAGCCCGCATGGAGTGGCTGCAAGCACCTTTCCTTAATAATCCTGGCGCCGCGGATTTGAGATCAAGGCCGAGAAAGTTAGTCAGACACGCACTGATTCGATACGTCATGACTGATGCTTACATAAAAGAAGAACCCTCAAATTGAACCCCCTTGCTGCCACCCAACACACATAATCACCTACCTACACCGAGAAACCTCCTGAAACAAACTACCAAGAAAATGGCCACCAAACTCAAACCCATCGCCATTATCGCCGGCGCCGGACCCGGCACCGGCGCCTCCATCGCCCGCCGCTTCGCCCAGACCTACCCGGTCGTCCTCCTCGCGCGCCGGCAATCCAGCCTCGACCCGCTGGTGCAGGGCATCACCCAGTCCGGGGGCACCGCGCTCGGCATCCCCGCGGACGTGACCCAACCCAATGCGATGGAGGCCACGATGCAGCAGATCGAGGGCAAATTCGGCGCCGGCGTCCCCGTGGCCGCGGCCATCTTCAACGTCGCCAGCAAATTCTCCCGCGCGCCGTTCCTCGACTCCGGCGCCGAGTTCCTCGATAGCCTAGAGGCGACCGCCCGCGGCGCGTCCAACTTCTCCAAGGCGGTGTTGCCGTTCCTGCTGCGCGCGGCCGCGGAGACGCCTCAGGCGCGGTTGGCGCCGACACTGATTTTTACGGGTATGTTTCTACGTAACTTCGCGGTCGCGATGCGGGAATTGGGGGATTTGCGCGGTGCCTTTGCGATGAGTATGGAGTTGAATCATTCTTCTGATGAGGTACAGGTGCAACGGCCTCCTTGAAGGGAGGGTCCGGGCTGGGCTCCTTCGCCATGAGCAAGTTCGCCGTGCGCGCGCTGGCCCAGTCGCTGGCGCGCGAGTTCGGGCCCCGAGGGGTCCATGTGGCGCATGCGATCATCGACGGGATCATCGCGACGGAGCAGACCAAGGAGTATAATAAGGATAAGCCGGATGCGAAGATTGATCCTGATTGGGTGAGTGCATTGCTGTGGTATTCGTCCCAGTGGAGCTACCCACCTGGTAGAAGTGATTTGGATGCTGATTGGGACTAGATCGCGGAGTCGTATTGGTTCCTGCATAGCCAGCCTAGGTCTTCGTTTACGCATGAGCTGGATCTTCGGCCTTATTGTGAGACGTGGTGATGGGATTCCTTGGGAATGGTTTCCAGCTTGGGGTTGTAAGATTATTTATCAGTAATAAGCAAGAAACACAGAACGTGCTCTTGTACAGATCGATGGTCTAATGTGATCCCCACTTGCCCTCAGCGCTTACTTGTAATGATAGTAGTCTATGCAACAGGCTTGTATGTGTTGTATCAACCTCACGGATATAATCCATAGATGATTCATGTTCGCCTATCAGTGAAATAAGCTGTCTGAGGCTTTGCGCAACTTTCGTGCCACAGATCGACATGAGGTGACAGTCTACTGCTGCTGCCAGGGTCGCTCCCAGCAAGAATACTCACAAGAGTCAAGCCACGGCCGACCTCGCTTACCAGAGATACGATATACCCTAACTACACCCAGTACACCTTGAAGCCCATAAAACCATAGATTAATCATAATATCACCCCACGATACCTAAACCCGATAAATCCCCACTTCCCCCATCGTCAACCCACAAGACAAACTCAACCTAAATTTTCTCCCCCTTGACCCCGCCCGCAACCTCCCTCACCACCTCAACATCCCCGCCACTAATCCCCTGCTGAACCGCCACCTCATCAAACTCATCCCAATAATCCCCGGGCTCCAACCACCCCTTCTGCCCACGATCCACGCCCCGCGGCCACCACACCGCGCACAGCGCCGCAAACACCGCAAACGCCACGAGCATCCCAACCGGGTACGCCACGAAGTAAAATCGCTTGATGCCCAGCGGCGCCCGCACGCCCATCTGCGACAGGAACCCGTAGAAATTCGGCGCCACCGCGATGAGATACGCCCCGAAGCCGCGCGGGTTGATCCCGTACAGATAGTAATAGATGCCCGCCGGGTCGGCCGTGTACAGCGCGGGGACATGCAGGTGACCCCGCCGGATGAGGTAATAGTCGCAAATCAAAATTCCGGCGATCGCGGACAGGAAGATCTGGTAGGAGGAGAGGAAGGTGATGAAGATTGAGGCCGTGGCGAGGAGGTACCAGGGGCAGATTGCGAAGGAGAGGACTTTTGAGGGGAAGGTTGGTTTTAGTGAGAGCTCTAGGTTTGAGTCTGAGGGAGGGGGGCTTACTGGCGCAGATGAAGAAGCCGCGTTTTACGGTGATGTAGCGGGGCCAGAGGGCGGCGATGTCGTTGCCGGCTCTGTGGGGTGTTAGTGAGGTGTGAATGGGGAACAAAGACAAAGGCAAGGGGCCGCATACGGGATTGAGTTCTCGAAGATGGCGGAGAAGACGGTTGAGTAGATGAAGGCTAGCGAGATGAAGGCGCAGGCGGCACGGTTGCCGTGCGTGTATCGGTCGCCGTCCATGAGTTTGTCCAGGAAGGTGAGGGGGTTCCAGATGAGCTGCAACAGTCAGAATAAATACAGGTGGAACCCCACGGGGAAGCGCCCACCTCGCCGAATATGCTCTCGCTCGACCCTGCAATCACATTACCGATGACGGCCACCAGCAGTCCCGAGACCGGGAAGCTGATGATCTGCCCCAGAATCACATCGCTGGGTTTGCGCGCGTACCGCTGCAGATCCGCTGCATTGGAAATAAAAGTCCCACAGCTGGCCAGTCCCAGCCACAGGAACTTGCAGATCAGCCAGCTCTTTTCCTGTCCGTGCACGGACGAGGACGCCCGAAGTGCCGCCGGCGATCCGCCCGCCAGAGAGACGACCCATGCCAGCATCGCTAATGCGCCAGCATAATATACGACCACTTTGATGTAGACCAGCATCTTCATCTTCGGCACCGGCACAACCAGGAAGGCGCAGTTGATCAGCCTTTTCATGTTAGTGAATCATTCGTCCATCGAAGTGAGAACATACCAGTACACCACGAAGCAGATCATCTGCGCAGACGTCAGAGCCGACTTCGGCCCCATTTTGTCGGGAATGTGAGCGATCGAGGGAAAGATCGCATGAAGAAACACACTGCGGGCATCAGCAAGCATCATGCAAGCGCAACCCCGACGCACTCACTAGAGACACTGCGCGCCCTGCGTCATATTCACCCCGTTCCACACGATGGACATGACCGCCCGATTGAAGGTCGGCCACAGCGCGCCCCAGACTCCAAAACTCGAGCGACAGAGCACCGGGTACGGAATGCGATACATGGCCCCAGCGCGGCCGTTGATCGCCATGAGGCATCCCGCCATGAACTGCCCGCCGAAGCTGCACGCGATACTCTCCCACATGGTCAACCCCATGGTCATGCCCGTGGAAGCCGCGTAGAGGTTGCTGACGTTGGCCACCGCCGAGAACCAGAACATCACGTAGGTGAACTGCGTCCATGTGCGATCTTTGGCGCGGGTGGGACGGATGGAGTCATTGTCGAGGGTCTCCACGATCCGCTCGTTTCCATCCTGATCGACGCTTTTCACCAAAAGGCGCCGGTGCAGGGTCGCGAGTACCGACATCTTGTTTCTGCTCTGGTGGTTCTCACCCTTGCGACCGCGAGAGGGGTTAAATACCAGGAGCCACTCTCTGGCCAGGGGTGGGACAGGGATGGCAATACGACCGTAGATAAGAGACGGGGATGGCACCCTGCTGAGTGCCACGGTGATAGGTGGCACACGCGACCGCGGCGACTTGAATCGACCAACTGTTCCGGCTTATCTGCTAGTACAGACGTAATCAGCTTATCAGCCGCCAAGATCGGATGGCGTTCTTGAACGACCGAGAATCAGCGATAATTAATCTCGCAGCCTTGCGGAGTGGTGGCTTGGCGGGGCGGGGTTCCCCGCGCCAGTCCTCGAACCGGATAAATACAGAACGTACCACCAGCACATGCATGCAGACCTCAGCGTGGCAAACTGAGTTACCGTACAGCAGATAAGATTGACTTACCAAGCCGAGGCTGATCCGAGCTTGATTCACTTTAGTCTCACAATGGCGACCGAAAGTGAATACACCCATGTCGAGCTGCTGACCTTGAATGGGCCAGAGTACCGCCGCGTGTCGACGGCGCCTCCCCGCCTCCCCACCGAGGATGAGATCCCCGTGATCGACCTCAACCCTATCAACGGCGATGCACAGGAGCGCGAGCAGCTCGCGGCCAAAGTGCGCGCTGCGGCAGAAAACACCGGGTTCTTCTACATCAAGAACCACGGCATTCCCGAAGAGCTGATCCAGGAGGCCCTCGCCCAGGCACAAGCATTCTTCCAGCAGTCGGAAGGAGACAAACTGAAAGTCGCCTCCGCCAAAATGAAACTGATGGACGGGTTCCATGGTGTCGGAAGCACACAGATCAACAAGACCGAATCAAGGGGTAAGCTCAACGCCTCCCCGTCATCACCAACCAGCTAACTCGGAATCTACACTAATTCCCCCCAGACCGCAAGGAGACCTTCTCCCTCCGCTACAACCCCCACCGCGACCCACAAGCCCACCCCGCAACCCTACCCGCCGACGACGACCAGGACCGCGCCCTCTGGGCAGGCACCGCCCACCTCCCGGGCTTCCGCGAAACCACGACAGCCTTCTACCAAGCCCGACTCACCCTCGCCCGCAAGATGATCCGCATCTTCGCGCTGGCTCTCCACCTCCCGGACGACTACTTCGACAGTCTAGTAACCCACCCCGGCGCAGACGGTCTGTACGTGC